TTATAAACCCTTTCCCCTAGAAAGGATAGAATTTTTTTCTTTATTTCACTTTTTCAAGCAGTTTTAGAGATTTAGATCTGAAAACTAGGCAGAAGGTTGATCTAAAATGAAACTTTAACATATACAATTTTCTCAAAATTCTACAGTCAAATTCTTTTTTTTTATTTAGGAAAATTCACCAAAAAAGAGTAAATTTACACTTTGGCCGTAGTCAGTTTCTAGGTTGCTTCTGTGAAAGTCAAAAGGTAATAAAAATATTTTCTACTATGTAACTATGAGAGTACATTTTTATAGACAGACGATCAACCCTTATCGTATCCACCCTGCACAAGACTAAATATTAAATTTTAAGTACATTATTGCTGGTCCCACGATATCTTCTAAACCTCTATAACTGGTTTGAACATACTATCCACAGATTCGCATCAAAGCGTTTATTTAAAAGTGATTTTATCACTTTCAGTTATCATAAAATCTGTAGACTTGTGACCTCTCCGTCACCACTATGCCCCGATTCCACTGTACTGGCTTTTTTTTAAATGTTTTTAAAATGCAAAATACATAATGGTTTTTTCTTAAAATCGTCAGAAGTTAGATGTATTAAACCTATGTTCCGTAAAAAAATTTAGAAAACTTTTAAAATGTATTAAAGAATTAATAGAAATATAATTAAGCCCTTTTATTACATAAGTGTTAACAGGATATAAATGATTATTTAATTTGATATGTATATCTATCATTCCTAAGTATTCCAGAATTGTATTATCTGCCCCCGTTATAGTAACCTTGTCTTTTGGTTTAATTTTTGCAGTATTATCTATTAACGAAAAATCAATACATGAAATATTTGAACCTGTATCAATAATAGCTGGTTTCTTAATTCCATCGAACTTAATATCCACAGATAATACCCTTTGTTTTCTCGCATCCTCTGTTTCACTTTTACTTTGTGATTCCTTATAAGTACTTTTAATTACATTATTCCTATACCATTTTTTTACAAAATTAACTAGCTCTACCTTTCTTATATTTACACTATCAATAAAATCTCTATTTTCATAATACATTATGTCTTCCCGAGCTAGACATCCGATTTCTTGTTCCAACTCGGTCCTTCCAAGTTTTTTTGATTGGTACATTTATCTGCATAATGACCCCTTGAATCACATCGATAACAGATTACCCTGTCTAAATCACAAATTAACAATTTTTCCCTTTATTTTTCTGGTGTTCTAGATCTTGTAAACCTATCACTGCTGTTTTCTCTACTATACATTTGGCTTTTATAACCTCTATCGTAACTGTTTTCCCTTCTATCACTAAATCTCTGTCTTTTGAATACGATCTATCTCTTTTGTTATCTCTGTCTCTCGAAAAAGACCTATTTCTTCTATCATGTCTATCTCTTGAATCTAAATCAAACTTCCTAGGGTAAGGACTTTTATTTCTATAATCATTACTTCTATTCTGGTAGTCTCGACATCTGTCATAACTGCGTTCTCTATGTTCTTTATAATAGTTCAAATTTTCATTATCTTTTTCGTTAAAGTTGACTGTTTTATTAGAATTTTTTCCCAAAACATGAATGTTTTTAATTTCTTCACTTAATTTTTCTATTTCTCTCCGGTAATCTCTATCTCTCGATTCTAGCTTTCTTTTTAAATCCTCTATTTCTCTTTCTCTCTGTCTATCTAATTGTGTCACCTGTTTATTTATTATATCTGTATATTAATTTAAACCTGGCCCACGGTTATTTATTCTAAATTGCATTAATTCGAAATTCTTTAAATTATCTTTTAATTTTTTTAAGCTACTGTTGTCATGTAAAGAAATTGCATGTAATACTGATTCTTTTAAGCCCCTTAAAATATAAGTACTAATGTCTTCTTCCTTGATAGATTTATCTAATTGCCTACAAAGATTTTCTACTTCAGTTACAAATCCCATTACTGATTCTAAATCGTTTTGCTTTCTAGTTTCAAGTTTATTTTTAATTAGTGTAAGGTACCCTATTGGTTGAAATTCGTCTAAAAATTCCTTTTTTAAATCTGCCCAACTCTAATCGTTCTTTTTGTCTTCTAAATTTTCTAAGAAGGTGTCTCAAAATTTCCTAACATTCCTAACATCTTCTTTATCCGAAAAATTATCTGGCCTAATCATCCATGTTTTATTGTTATTATCCATCCTTATATGATTTTTGCCTTTATTATCTATCGATTTATGATTATCACTAAATTTAAAATTTTCTTGCTCGGTCCTAATATTATTACTAAACGAGTCTACTTTATTGTCTAGTTCAATATCTTCATAGATATTTTCTGACAGTTTAAAATTACTAGTTTCCCCGAAAATATTAATTTCTGAATTCTCAGGTTCCTTTATAGTTTTGAATTCCAAGTTATTAAAATTACTAGATTTTCCATGAATATTACTTTCTAAATTATAAGAATTACTAGGCGTTTCAAAATTATTAAGATTGTTATATGTACTGTCTAAGTTAATTTGATTATCATAAACACTTAAAATATCTTCAATATTATTTGCTGTTTTGTAGGGAAAACAGCATTTTATTTAAATTTTCATATATTAGATTTTCTCTAATTAAAGTATCAGTTAGTTTTTCTTGCCTAGCGCTAGAATCCAGTATTTCAGAATCGGAACTGGAATCGTGTAACCCTATTGATTTTTCTAACTTCTTAATATCTATTTTATTATCAATTGAAATGTTTACTACTTGTTTAGCTTCTTCGCTACTTAAATTAGAATCAATATCATTAAAGAGTATTTCCCCCTTGTAAAATCTAACTAATCTAGACCTTAATACGTCTACTTTTCCGTTATTATCTAATTGTTTTAATTTACAGAGCTCTATTAGTTCGTCTTTTTTGAGTACATAAGTGTCTGTTAATCTATTTATTGAAAGATTCGCTTTAGCCAGTTTATTAGTATAAGTAAAGTCGGACATGTGGGTAGTTAGAAATGCTTAACATGTTTACTTACAATTTTTTCTATATTTTTGAAGATGGTTGGTTGAATTTAATTTAAGATCTTTTAAAATGTCACTAATTTCATAAATTTCTTCGTCTGAAATTTGTAAAAGTTCCTCATTTGATTTAATAATAACAAAATTAAATATATCTTTTTTACTATTTACGTTGTTGCCAAATATTTGTAATAATTTTAATTCTATTTTTCGAATAATCTTCCTATCCATTTAATTTAATTTAGTTAAATTTTAAAATCTGTACTTAAATTTCCATAAAAATAAATAATAAAAATGTTGTTTACCAAAAAAAATTTTATTAGAGAGAAAAAAAAATTATTTAATCAAAAATTCGCTCTACACTATTCCAAAAAAAAAAAAAAATTATATATATAACAAATAATTGTGCCTAGAGAGAAAGAAACAAAAATTTTCCTTTTTCTTCAAAACATACAAATACTTGGGGAAAAGAAAAAAAAATTTTTCTTCTAAAACTTAAAATAACTCCAAATTAACGTAGCAGAGTGAAGAGAAAAAAAATATATATATTTTGCTAATTAAATTGGAACATACTCGGAAATTTTTCTGAGATATAATTTAATAAAAGAAAAGTATGCATAACAAAAAAACCGTAGAATAATTTATCCTACAGAAACAGAAAGATATGGGCAAACAATCTCCCATAAAAATCACGTAAGATAAACTCTTGGAGAAAAAATATCTCCTAACTTTGAAATATACCCGCAATTCTAGGGGTATACTTAAAAAAACACACACAAAAACACTTGAAGGGAAAAAACCTAATTCTTTTCCCTAGAAAAAAACACACATAAAAACACTTGAAGGGAAAAAACCTAGTTCTTTTCCCTAGAAAAAACTGGCACTAACCTTATGTAGCGACAGGAAATCTTGGTGGTCGTGGATGTTCGAGTCACAAGTTGGGCGCCACTTTGTCGTATGCGGTATTGACTCGATACGCACAACGTGATACTCTTTTAAAGATGTTATCTCGACTAGGATCCTTTAAAGTTGATCAAAGCCAATGCCCTGCCGCTTAAACCTTCCGGAACTATACTTCAGCCAGACGACTAACCCACACTAAGTAGTAATCAACCAGACGCCTAATACGGGTGAAATCGTAATTAGGGACTATTTTCATTTATACCTAGTGCAAGATTAATAAGTATTTAGAATAAAGATATAAAACTGGAGCGTTAATGTACTCGAACGACTATTGATATTTAAAGATAATAAAAATGTCGGCATTGAAATTCAGCAGAAGTTATTTCTATGACAAATAGATCATTAAACTTGTATCATAAGACTTCAAAGTGGTTGGCTCTAAACTTGTGACTAACATTTTTTTTTTGTAATCTGTTGAGTTTTTATTTATTTATAGTCTTTGCAGTAAACAGTTAAGAACAACTAATTTTCTGGTATATTTTCGTAAGAAATTTTGTAAAAGACTAAAAATTTAACTTTTATGACTACAAAATACAGTAAAAATCTACTATATTTTGAACATAATATAATAGTGTTTTTAAATTTAATATTCATACTATTAAAGTATAATAATTTAATAAATATACTTCAAGAGTATTAAGTTAACTCGCATTAGCATCGAATTTACACTTTTCTTGTGCAATTTTTAACCCCTAATTCCAGGGTTAGATTTAATTTAATTGAAGATATCGAATTAAATAATTCCCATTAAAATGGGTTTATATTATGTACTAAACTCTCAGATATTTGGAAATCGCTTAGATAGTAAGTTGTGAATTAAAATTAAAAAAACGTTAAAAGAACCTGTAAATTTGTTAATGGCGAATTTCAGTTAAACTTAACCGGATTATGGTAAAAAACATTGCTGTAGTATTTTCTACTTGGTTTTTAGCTTTTTCAGAGGATACCACAACGATACTAATGAAAGTTACAATCTATGACCTAAACATAGTAAATTAAATCACTTTGATTTGTAGAACTGTTGAAAAGAAAACAGGATTTTTATTTTTTATTGCTATAAATCTTCGTCCATGTCTTCTTCCAAAAACGCCTCGTTAAAAACGCTATTGGATTCGATAATAACTGATCGTTGATAATGAAGAGCCATTTTGTCTTTCAACGTCGCTGCTGTAATATTGGGAATGTTTATGAAGCTCTTCTTGGACGATCCTATTTCGAATGCCCTCCGCACGTTAGACGGTATTCTATCACTGCCTTTCTTTAACCATGGATTTTGTAGAGCCTTTTTTATTTGTATTCGAAAAGCTATGTTGGGTTCGAGAAACGTTGATACAAATTCTTTGAGCTGTTCGCTGCGGTCCACCACGTCTCGAAATTTATATTGTTTTAACATCTACGAATAATCATTATATATAGTTACGGCTAGGTTATTAAGTCTTAGTACTCCAAAATGCGCCAAATGTGACGGCTATATCGGTAATGGATACCGTATTATATGTCCTCGTGTCGGCCATTAATATTAATTACTATGTTCATTCCTAGTAAAATTAAAAGGATGTTACTCGTACTTAAAATTCGTCTTGCTTATTATGAGTTAATTGGCTTTTTAAGAAGGTTAAAACTCCTTTTAGACGTTGACATGTATTTTTATAGATGAAAATACTCATACCCCGTATAAGGTAATTAGTCTGAGTTTGAGCTAAAAACAATTAATGTTACTTTAATTCTCGTTAAAGATAAATCTATGATTAAAATCCGCAGTCTCATTGAACGATTTCCCGCTAAGAAAATGTGGGTTTTACTGCAGTAGAATGCATGTATAGAACGTAAGTAGTTTATTCAATATTCTCTCAACTCACTCTTGCCTGTGTAAGAGTAATTTTAGAAGGTAGGCAATTTCTATTGCTTAACTACTCAACAGCCAATTATTAAAGGTTCTTTTGAATCGACATCATTATCTACATTTGTTACCTATCTGAACAACTACGTTGCACCACTAACAACAATACCCACGAGTATTAGATAGATTTGATATCTTGTTAAATGATTTTAGCTTCGACACGAAGCTGGCATTATTATTTATACTCAATTTTGTTCAACCTGTTTCTTGTACATCTCATCCCTGTTCTTGTCCCGGAAAGGCATAGCGTTATTGGCCATTACGTACAGCACGATTCCCAAGGCCCATATATCTGCGGCAACAGGATTATAAGGACGTGTGGCCGTCACCAGCTCAGGCGATGAGTATGCCAACGTGCCACATATGGTGTCAGCGCCGGGATGACGTCCGCGGCCCACGAACCTCGTGAACCCGAAGTCGGCCACTCGCACGTTCAACTTGGCCGTCAGCAGTATGTTTTCACACTTGACGTCTCTGTGGACGATGCCCACCCCGTGCATGTACTTGAAAGCCCACAGGATCTGTCGGAACCACGAACGAATCTGGTCCTCTGTCAGCGTTATCTTCTTCAAGTACGTGTACATGTCCCCGTTTTCCGCGTACTCCATGTTGATGAACACCTTGTGAAGACTTTGGAATATGCTGTGCACCTGTGAACAAAACATACAAAACACGATTCGACTATCAGCAAATTCTCCCTAGGCATTTTTGAGGAGAGCCTCGTGCTGTTGAGGTATTTTGAAGGTACACGGAAATCAATGTGCCATAATTAGTCAACACCCGAACGGTACGCACAAGCTGCAAATTGCATTCATTGCTTTTGAACGAAAGACGATATCACCAATAACTAAATATATAATTTAGATAAGACAAAATAACATTTATATTTATTAATTTCACTCGAGATCTCACCTTTGAATACCAGTATTAAATAAATAATCTGTAAAATATGCACAGGTCTCGAAGATTTCCATTTTTAAACTATAGTATTAAAATTAGGTATTAATAATTAAAAGATTCCGTAATAATTAATTCTAGACAACGACAACGGCATGTTTGAGGGACAAATGGTTATTTTTCCAAATATTAAAATTATACCTTTTATATATAACACAAATTTTAAAAAAATCTTCCCTCCCCTTCAAAAATAAAGTTTTGATCCATGACTTAGGAAATCAGTATTATAATTTATACTATGATACAAACACAAGCGTGTATTTATCGTAATACCTACTTATTTTTTTATTACTTTTTCAGTGTTTAAAAATGATTTATCAGTTACTATGAGCTATTAAGTTTGTGGACTTGACAGTGGTGATAATAATAATCATTATATAGTTTCCCTAAAGGCAAATAACAGTGTGGTGTATATTTGTCATTTATGAGTTGTTTTTCCGGCATTGCTGCGTTACGCCCACATATGGTTTTCATATCTACCTCTCGTGAATAGCAAAAAAAAAAAAAATACCTAATAACCTAGTTGTTGTTAACAGCTAAACCGGGCTGTTTACATACATGTGAAGTTAGATGGAAGTAAACATATTAGAAAATCTGAAAAGATAATCATCAATGAAAACATAAGATTCCTTTCCCTGTAAACTGATTGGGTTTCCTTGCACCATTGGGCCACTTTTCAGTTTCGCTCAGTGCGGTACTTGTAAATATACCCTAGTTTGAATAAAACTGACTCGCCTGTACTATGTACGGATGTCTGAGCTTGATGAGCACGTCGAGCTCGCGAGGCAAGAATTTCTCTGCGAACTTAGCCGAAACCCTGTTGACGTTTATCACTTTGGTGGCTAATAGTGTGACCTTGTCGTTGATTATGTTGCCGTACTTGGTTAGGTACACCTTGGAGAACGATCCTTCGCCGATTTTTTTCCACACTTGCAGCTGATTTCTTACCAAAACCGAAGTGTCTGACGTGGCGGTCATCCTTACATGTCACTGCGGCGTCCCCGACAAGCACACGCGGATTCGTTTTGTGTCCAACAAGTCGAAAACAGATAATTCCTTACGAAATCCACGAGCCAGATAAACGATACAACGTTTGCCATTGAAAAATGCCGAAAACAGGTTTCTTTATATTTTATCTATACATGTCCGAGTCACGACAGCTGTGGTACACAATGTTACTATGGTAAACAGTAGTCACCTGTATACAATAACTGTATACATTACTATAATTATTATTAAAAAAAAGAGAAAATAGAGTTAACTGTTTCAATTTCGCATAAAATACCTCAGCTTTTCTTAAATGTAGTTCTTTTTCCATTTTAAGAGATGCTATTTCTTCAATATTTTGTTCTGATTCAGTAACATTTTTTGATCTATCACATGTTTGACATGTGACGGTTCTAGGTTGACAAAAAAATATATTGAATTATGATGCAAAATATTTTGCAAAGAAACTATATTTTAACTTTGGTTTGATACTTAGTGTTGTTGTATCGTTACTATCAAATACAGGCCAAAAATCAGGTTCATACTTTTGTAAGTACATTTTATATAATTTAGAAATTGGGAGATCTGGTGACATGTATTTTGTATTAGCATGATCATGTCTACTATAATGTGACTGTCTATTAGGAAAACTATTAATAAATTTGTTAATTTGGTAACCAATAGTATCTGGTAATTTGTTTGGACGGTTGTGGTGTTTTCCACATTTATCAAGAGGACTTGTATATTTGTTAGTCAATTTTTAACAATTCTCTTAACCACAGCTTTTCCTACACCATATAGAGAACAAAATGCTTTTTTGCATACTGGAAACAGTTTGTATCAATTCTTACCTCATATTTTGCTATGTCGTTTCTATTTCCCCTACTTCCATTTTTAATTTTTCGGCAATTTACTGGGATAACTTGAATTAATCCACCTAAGAATGTATCTTGAACACAATTTTTACCAATTTGATTAAAAGTGGACATTAGTAAGACTTTATCTGAATCTGTCAAAAATAACAGATTCAGAAAACAATTCCTGGTACAATGACAATCTGAACCTGTCGATCTGGAGACAATTTATTTTTTACGGAGACTTATATGTTGTTTCCCTTCAGCTTTGTTTCTTTTTGCCAAATTTCGTTTCCATAATGTTTTGTTAATTTTTCATTTTTTGCCAATGCCAGGGAACATAATATTATCTTCATTGCTTGATTCATCTTTAATATCAGGTCCAGGGAGTACGACATCATTAGAGTTACTAGAATCATAAGAATCAAAAGCTAGAATTCCACCCAAATCATTAAAGTGGGCTTGTCTGGTTGTTGCAGAGAGCTCTTCAATTATAAATGATTCTCGTTTCTAAATTTTTTACATTTAGGTTTTTTAAATTTGAAGTTAAAACTAATAAATTACTTTTAGCTTCCTGTATAATTTTGAATGCGCTTTCTGATCCAGTGATCAATCCACCATTATTTTTTAGTTCTGTGAATCTAGTATATGAATGCATATTACAATTAGTCATGGTCAGACAGGTCTCTAAAAATACTTTTTACAAGATTCACACTTAGTTATTTGTATTATTTGTTGTATAATATAACCTAAAATATAATAAATAATATTATCCTTTGCTTCTTTCATATTAGAATTTATATTATTTAATAATGCTATTCTATTTACACTATTTACATGACTTGAGGTTACTCCCACTTGGATGGCTTGACTAGTTCGCCAACGTTTCGGAACACTTGCACGTTCCATCTTCAGGGCTGTGGTTCGATGTTGCTCGTACCGTGTTCTCCTGCAGAATGACCGATTCGCTTCCGTGGACGTAGGTTATATACCATACCCCCCACCGCATTCTCCGCTTCCTCTTGTCGTTGCCAGCTGTTTTCTACGGCTACGCCCTTTCGCCTTGGCTGGCTGCATTTTATAAAAAAATTTAAAAGTATTTGTTTTATGGCAGTTTTGAATTGAACTACATTTGGGTTGTTATTTGATCCTAACCTCTGTCGGATTTTACCAAAAAGCAACTCCAGATGGTCTTGAGAAAATGTGTAAGATAATATACAAGAAAAGTTTATTGATGTATTTTGTAAATTATAAAATATTGTTTCAGAAAGGGAGAATAATAACTTAATTGTGAATGCAAAGCCAATGATAAAAGTTTTTTTATTTGATTGATACAGAAAATCATTATTAACCCTGCGTTACTACTCTGTACAAGTGTTACACCGCTGCTACTCTAGGTCTGCTGGACCCAATTTCTTAAATTTACCCCAAATTAGACTATTTTTCTACTCAAATTCCCAAATATACTTCTAGAACATGTATTTCACATAGTATAAACAAATTTCTTCTTTATTTATAATATAGTATGATAAAGTTTAAAAAAATGGACATAAATAATACTGTCTTACAAAAAGGAAATCAAATTTATACTTTTTGACTTTTATTGAAAAACATACAATCTGTAAATTATATTTTACAATGAGTATTTTTATAAACTATTTACAATAAACTATACACATGATTAACATGAGGAGGATACCCCACATTAGGGGCATCTCAATAGGAAATCAAATTTAAAACAAAAAGTAACAATGTACCATAAAATAAATAAAATTTACTGTTTTATTTATAATGTACGTAACATAAATTCTACTTCGTTTTACAAAAAAAAAAATTAAAATGCTATAACGCTATAAGAAACCCTAACTAGTTTGGACAGGATTATCTTCGTGTCTGTATATCCGGTTAATAATCAAACTCATTGTTGCTTGAATGATACAAACTATAATGGCCACAATACTCATCAATCTAAAAGTAATGATGGACCCTAGACTCTTTATTAAATAACCGCCAACGAAATTCCCCAACGGGGTACCTACAAAGTGAAAATAGTTATTAATTATCTATAAATATTTTTTAAAACCCATACTTATAATAATATTCATTAAGGATATAAAACACATTTTTTCTGAAAAAAAATTCAGTTTTATAGTTTTTCTATTTGAAGACACTTTAGTTTATATTATTTAACAATATATTAAGATAATGTACTAGAGACTACTAGAGTTATACAAACCTACACAGTAGGGCCAATTTGGCTCTTTCTGAAAGAAATAATTTAAACGCATTGTTATAAAATCGTTTTAAATTATTAGTGACTTTTATGTTTTAACAGTCAATACTTGCAAATCTCAAAAGTAAAAAAACTCTTAGCTTAGGTTTAAAGACGTCTAAAAATAGTTTTTTTAGTACCCTATGAATCGTATTTAATTTTATTTCTATTAACTAAAAAACTTGTATTTTTATTAGTTATGTGGTACTCAATAATGTCAAAATCATAAATATACATTAATTTATAACATAAAAAAATGTTCTTGTTTGATATAAAATATGCTAACGGAATAAATCCGCATTCCGTCTTAAATGTGAAACTCTAACTTGAAAAGTAATTATCCAAACTCGTTAGCGACCAGTAAACTTTCCCAGTACATTATTCTTAATTTAAAAAGTAGATGTATTATATACGTTACCTACCTTTTTACTTTCAAAAGTTGACAAAGTAGCTCTAGGATTATAATAAAACAAATAAATATTTATTTATAATAATTACTATTATAGTAGTAATAACTTTTTTATCTTGTTAACAACTTAATAATAATTAAGAAAAAACGTAAGCATTACTTGTGGTTATATACAGGGTGATCCAACTAACGTAAGACACTCATTTTCCCTGAAAATATAAATATTTTGAAAACAATTTTTTTCCTAAACTCAGGTACATATTTTACTACATTTTTTAATATTTTAAAACATTTTACCGCCAATCCTTATAAGCCAAAAAAGGGGATTTTTGGTTTTTTTAAATGGCAACATATGTTTTTAATTACATAAATTTGTAGACAAAAAATTTAAAAATATGTTAGCGTTAAAAATTTTTATTTTTATTAATCTATTCATTAGTTATGACTTTGTTAAGATACTACATTTCCTCTTAATAATAATCATATTTCTTCAGTTTGTCCAAAACCGGTAGCACATCAAATTCATATTCATGTTCGCATTGTCCAATTGGCGATAACATTCTAACAACTAGGAATTCACTATAAAAGATTTTGAAATAGACAAAGGTTCTTATCTACAGATTACTTAGATTATAGGTTATTTATTATATCTGATTATGATACAGAGTACGGTAACATGTCAAATTGTTTGTATGCAATGTAATAAAAGTAAAAGTAACGATTGAAAATATTAAGAAATACAGTCAAAAAATCAAATCTTTATAAAGTCATAACAAATGAACAAATAAATGAAAATTCAAAACTCAAACGCTAACATAATTTTTAATTTTTTGTCTACAAACTTATGTAATTAAAAACATATGTTGCCATTAAAAAAAAATAAAAATCCCCCATTTTGGCTTATAAGGACTGGTGATAAAAATTTTCAAAATACTGAAAATGTAGTAAAATATGTACCTAAAAGTTTAGGAAAAAAATTGTTTTCAAAATATTTATATTTTCAGAGAAAATGAGTGTCTCACGTTAGTTGGATCACCCTGTATAGTAAAGAAATAAATATACGTATAGTACTGTAAAATAACTTAACAAAATAGTTTTCAAAAATTAATAACTAAAAAATTGCAATTATTTTCCGAGAAAATTAGTGTCTTATTTTTACTATGTATCATTTACAAAAATATAAATCCCAAACCTATTCCCAGTAGTGCCATTCCAATTAATCCCTGCATCGTTCCTTCGGCGCCAACAGGAGATAATTTCGCGGCATAGGCAACCGCAGCGGATTCAGTGAGTGCGTTAGTAAATCCATGAAGTATTTCAACGCTCAGAGCAATTATTGGATTTTTAATTAGTGAATAAAGCATAAATCGTATTGAAAGAGCTAAAAATGCTAGCGAAAACACATTCATATGGCCAATCCTTTTTATAATGAAACCTATTTCATACCACCAAAAAAATGTTTATTAACACGTCGGCATCGGTTTGATTAATTATACAATTTATAGAAATTCAAACCAAAACTCACTCACTAGATAAAAAATACAATGGTACTTCGCTTAAAAAATATTGTGTAATCAAGAAAAGCCCTTGAACGGTTTTTATCCACGGTTTTATTTCAGGATGATACAAATTCGTTATGTCTTCGAGGTACCTAGATACGGGAACAAAATTAATAAATGTTATATTATATAAAAAATAAAAAGAAGATTTCATAGGCGTTTATTATATTTTAAACGAGAAATGTGTACTTACCAAAACAGAAAGTTTTGTATAAAAGCCATTAAAAAACCAAAACAAATGATTGATATAAAAAATATAATTACTCTAAAGTCAGTTGCAACGTTTTTTAAATCACCACCAATAGTTTTATTTTTTTTTACTTGAACAACCTGAAAAATAAATTGTTGTATCGGTAAAACAAGAAAAGGAAAAACTGTTTAAAGTATGTCTACACTTAAATGTTACTATGTAGGAATATATATTTTAAAATCGTTAATTATTGAGGTGGTATTAATAATTTACTATACTACTTAACCTAATGGTAACAACAACAACGAATTATTAGAAAAGACGAACCTTCCTTATACTAAAAATACACTTTTTGCCTTACGAAGATTTTTTATTAATTTTTAAATATAAGTCATATTGTTTAAAATAAAAAATTAAGTGATTCCAACTAGTAGTTCCTAATTGGGTCAAAATACGTTAAACTTTGACTCCTGACTAATTTAAAGCAAGGCAGGACTGGGTTGACCATTACAAAATGTTTGCTTAGTGTTTACCTACTTTCCAAATGGTGTGATATACGCATATTATACTATTTGGATGTCATCAGCCGACTACTAAAAGTGTTAAAATTATTTTATAGACTAAAACCTAATAAAGCTATTAAGCTGATATTAAAGTTGTAACTAAAAATGTGAATAACAACCGAGTAAGTACAACGAACATAATTTTCAGTTGACCTGCGATAAATATTTTACAAATATAATAGATACAATCATAACATAACAACACCATACCCCAACCACCTTGTATCAAAGCGCTAATTAAATTATACATTTTGTTTTTATACAACTCATTTCAACTACCTTAATCCCAGTTGAAACGTAAATATCCATAATTGAAAAGAAAAATGATATCACGTATCCAGGTCTATAGTCTTTATAATCTTTGCCTTTGCTGAACCAATCAACAGATGCTCCGGAAATAATGGAAACGACACCATAACCGATTGATCCCCAAACTTTTTGTCTACCGTAATTATTTACATTGTCCCCTTAAAAAAGAAAGAAAAATATTTAATAAATATATAATATTTTGTATAATTATTAATAAAAATGAAGCATAATATATATATATATATATATATATCTTTCTGATTGGCGTTAATGGTCTATATGACTTGTACCGTATGTTCATATTACATACCAAGAAGACTGACACATATTGTATCCTCCATGATCGATCGTATTACAGCTCCGAGGCATAACAGAAAGATTATACAGAAAAATGCCCAAAATAACATAGTTTCGAACACAATCTTATCGTCGATCATTTCCGACGCCGTTGCACCAGGTATAAAAACCAATCCGATAACCACAAGAGCGAATAGCACCTCTCCCGCGAGAAACATAAACCTTCGGCATTTGTACACGTCCGTGATGCTTCCTAGTGTTGGTCGTACGATAAGACTTGGAATCTGCAAAGCAGTTAAAGCGATTCCCATAACGAATGCAGAATAACCCCGTTGTTTTCCAATAGTGGATATAAACGGAACGATTGGTGCGTAAGCTAAAATATAGAAACACACAGAATTGCCGTTCAGTTTATATAATTATAAATCTCGGTACTTTATTATAATTTATTTGTATTTTATTTTATAACCAGTTACCAAGTATGAGATTAACAAACAATTCTTTCTAATTTTTTTTCGGCTATCCTAATTAAGAATCTTCTTTCTAATCACTTCAAGTAAGGGTTTATTAATTAAGTGTTTATTTATTTCCTTATTAAAATTGTAAATAAGTAATTTAAAAAAAATGAGTTGTTCAAATAGTTATTACCATAATAATAGATAAAATTAATTTTTCCTGTTCTATGAATCTGTCTTCGATCGATAAAATACTATTTTGATTGGGTATTTTTAAATCGGGTCCATAAAAAGTTTATACATGTTAACATTCGTGATGGTGCTTAAAATGAAATGTCTGTTTTAATGTATAAAATAATTTATTTTTCTTACCGCCATATGCGAAAAAATAGTTCATTTTCATAAAAAGTAAATTCTTGTTGATATTTCTTTGCCACATCATTTTCATTTTTTCTTCTATTTTCACTTAAATGCAAGTTAAAGAAAATTATGTTTTTAATAAATTGGTTAAAAATGTTTAAATTTTTATTAGTTAACAATAATGTTATAATTATTGACAAATGAAATAAATGAGCTTGTAAATCAAAATAAACTGTATGTCTTATGATAGTACTAAAGCACTTCAGACGCCGTTTTATCGATTAATGATAAAATGGTAATCTTTACTGAAAACACTTGTGATTTTTTCATATAAAAACGGCTTTACTATTTTATGTTAGTATAAGAATATATTTTATAACCATTTTAAATTAATAAATAAGAGATTCTATCATTTATATGGTACTTTTGATGGACTACAAAAAATAATTGTAATTTGCTTTAATATTAAAATAATATTATGAATTAATAATAATGAGAACCGTTTGTTTATGGTACATTTCTAAATAGTTTTTAATAATATTGCCTACTACTAATTTCGATTGACCTCTAAAATAATTTTCATTTGTAGAATTATGTTTGCTTTGTATAAATTACCTAAGGTATATTTATTATCATTGAAATAACTTTTTAATCTTATTTCAATTTTTTTAATAACTAATTATTTCGACATAAAATTTGAAAATATATCTAAATAATGTGTGATTTATTATTTTAATTGGTTAAAATAAATAGTTTATATAACTACAAATGTATGACGTATGAACAAATTAAAGTTTAAACAATAAAATAAAATACTTTGTCATTAAAAAATATTTAAAATAACAGATTATTTAAAATATTTTAAATAATTATTTCTTATTTATAATAAAAAATGGCAAAATTTGTTTTAATAGTGTTGAAAAAATGTGTTTTGTTTTTTAATATTTGTAATTTTTTTATTATTAATTAATGACTAAATTTTAAAATTCACTTCTTTAGCACCATGTGTGTTCAATGTGTGACTATTTATTACAAACTTAAAAAAACTGCTGACAGTTTGTTAAATAAATGAGTACTTATCAAATGTGGGACACTTGGAAGGAATTAATAAAAGTTTAGTTAATGGGATTCTGGTGGAAAATTTTACCCAGTAAAATTGTTTTTTGTTTATATTTTACTCTGAATATATTATATTTTCCAGAATAATTGAAATGGATTGTAACTATTTATGTGTATTTCTGTATGTGTTCTCTCCTAATTTATTTAATATATAATGAACAATCATTGCAGAAAGAAGAAACATTGCCTTTAGCAATTCTAACAGAGACTAGCAAATTTCAAAAAAATGACTGTGAACAACTGGTCGTGAATTCCGAAGACATAAATGAAAACAACTCAAAATTTTTATTGAAGAAAATTCTGGAGCAAGTGGGACTTACAATACAATAAAAAAAAAAAAATTTAGATGTTTGAAAAATGTAGAATGTAAATTGCAAAATGTTGTTGTGGTCGTGAGTGACGGGTTAAATAAAATTAACACAGGAGTATTGGTTATCACGGTTGACTGTATTGATTTAGAAAATAACTAAAATACAATAATCGGTTATTATACAAATATGTGTATCCGTGTTAATCCAGAATGGAAGTCGTGTCAGCTGGCGGCGGCGGCGACCGGTTCGCGCTGCCGACCCGCGACCTGACGGACTAAAGTAGGGGATGCGGTCGCCACCCAGCCGTGACGAATGTAGTTAGCATCCGCCATCGGTTGGGGTCGCGGTGCGACCGCGTCAAACTCCCCCCTAGTCCGGCCGGTCGGGCATCTAAGGCAGCTGGATTGGTGGGGCGTTCAGGATGGCATCGACATCAGGTTCCACCTCCATCAGCTCCAGGCGGTCGACAATTAGGTCAGGTTGGAGGAACCTAATCCCGGCCTCGTCCTGAGCGCCTGCCTCCTTCCCTGCTGGTGGTTGAACCCCTGGGCCTTCCTCCGCTCCGAGTACCACTCCGTCCCGGGCTGGTGATTGGATAAGTGCCCTTATATTCCGCCCTGTGTCGGCTGGCGCCTCTCCCTCCGGTGGGGCTGGCCCGGAGACCGTCGTCGCCGGACGTTCAGAGGAGGGCCCCCCCGCTCTGGCCGCTACATACCCGTCGGTGAAGCCGCGGTCGTAGGCGGTACCCAGTTGCTCCTGGGCCCGTAACTCCCGCAGTTCCGCTCTCCGGATCCGGTCCACCGTCCATCCGGTCGACAGGCCTGCGAATTGCTCGCCGGTTAGGCGGGCCACGGCTCGAAGAGCGTCCTCCGCTGTCCTGCGGAGCCACGCCACGTGGTCTGAAACCGTTCGGCGAGACGGTCGTGGACGGCAGTTGTCATTGGGGCGTCGGAGTTCCATCGTGTGCTCCTGAGACAACAAAATTTTTAAGAAAAGTGTCATTGGCCAGTTTCAGCGCTGACGAATGGAGTTTAGTCGGGCGTTTTCCCCCGGTCATAAAAACCCCGGGACCCAACTTTTTTACTAACTTAACCGGACCTAGCCACTTCGGGGCGAACCCCGCGTGAAATTTCTTTCCGGCGTTAGATAGGTGGTGTGCTTTGTGATATACCCAGTCCCCCACGGATGTAGTTTTTACTCGGGTAGTTGTAGTCACCGCCGGAGTTTCTCCGGGTAATTTACTTGGTTTCTCCGAAATCCCCCGGTCGTTGCCGGTGTCTTGCCGGAAGGTAACAACTTCTCCGGTGGGAGGTTGATCACACCCATCCTTGATCGGATTTTCCGGTTTCCTTTCGGTCATTATTAACCAGTCTCCGGGCGATTTGGCTTGCCTCCCGATAGCCAAAGTCGCTGGTGTCACTTCCGTGAATCTGTTGACTCTATTAAGAAGGGAGAATAAGATTGGAGGCAGGCAGCTGTCCTATTGATGATGAGGCTTATCCAACAACGCTGTGCGTAACCCTTTCTTTAACTTTTGGTTACGCCTCTCAACCGGGTTCGCTCGGGGGTGGTAAATCGAGGTTGTCCACCCTTCGGATCCCCATCCCTTAAGCGCCTGCTCCATCTGTTTTGACACGAACTGAGTGCCGTTATCTGACAGTACTGCCCTTGGGTAACCGAAGCGTGAGAAGTACTCACGTTCGAGGGTGTCGATGATTGCTTTCGACGTGGCCTTACCCAATGGATACGCTTCGACCCAGCGGCTATAGCAGTCCGTTGCGTGATACTCCGGTAGGTTTTCTTCCAACCCGGATGACCCGCGGACACGTGGTCGTGGTATCTCCACAGTAGTCGTTCGGTCTGGTTTGATGGAATTACGAGACTGCCGATAGTATTTTCGGTAGCCTTTTTATAAAGTAATCCGTCCCGTATAAAATATACAGATCCGAGACGACTTCGGCCCGTTTCGTTCGTACGTAGTTTATTCAGTGTGTCCTGGATATAAGTATCATTCTGCTGCCATTTCCCCACTTGGTCAGTGGTTATATGGTCGGAAGTACCTTTTATGGTCCCGATTTGTTCCGTGACGTCGGTAAACACTTTCTTCGTCGGAGGGTCATGCACATTTGCCTCCAGTTTTTCCTCGTCTACGGGAGGACCTTCGGTGGGAAACCGGGATAACGCGTCTGCGGCATCATTTTCGCTCCCGGGAATATGTTTAATTTCGAAATCAAACACACCGAGTTGCAGAGCCCACCGGGTTAATTTGCTGTTGCTATCCCGGGTGTGATGTAACCACTTAAGGGCTGCGCTGTCGGTTAGCAGTGTAAAACGCCTGGTTTCCAAATAAGGACGGAAACGGTCGGTGGCCCATTCCCGTTCGACGGCTGAATATCTCTTCTGTGCGGCGTTAAGCTTACGGCTAGCGTAGGAGATCACTATCACTACAATAATATTTTTTAAACTTATCATGGTCATACTTAAAAACGCACCTGCGCTAAAGAAAATAATAACAAAATCATGCCTGTAAAATACATTTTTATACAATTAGGAATTTCAAAAATTATATTTTAGATATATTTATTATTTTTACCTGTCTCCACTTTAATAATCTCTTATGTATTTTGCGTTGTCTGTCGCGAACACGGCGGTTTTAACAAATCGCAATTTTCCGCCATATGGTTATCGACTAGATAGTCGGAATATTTTTCTAGTTTTTCGTCAACAGGACGATCAGTCATGACGTTTTCAATAAAACAATCTAAAACCTCATTTGGATCTAAAAACAGTAGTCCAAATGTAACCATTTTCCAACATCCGACGATTTGTCTTGGTAGGCTGTACCCAGACCTAATTTTTGTATACACCGATACCAAGATTGCGTTAAATGAAACCTACGTCCAACTAATTGTGTTTCAGGCCAAATTATCTTAATAGAAAGTAATATCGATTTTTCAAAGTCGGTAGTAACACATTTTGGTAATTATTTAAACCCTAATATTTCACATTTATTTACAATTAGTTGGAACACATTCTTATATATTATCTCTGTCGATTTATTTGGTAGAAGGCAAAATATTAATGGAATGTAATGTCCATTTTTATGTCCGTGAATTTTACAACAATTGTGTGAATAATCGGGCAGAAAACAACTTGAATGTCCCATCCATATTTATAACGTGTCAACTTTTTTTTAAAGATAACAAATTTGTAATACGCGAAAAAATTATTACAGTTTTAACTTGGTCATTAACCAACAAAAAATAGCTCACCTTGTTTGGTTTGTAAATTCATATTTTCCAATGAAACGAATACTGGGTATGTGTTCATCACATTACCTACTCTAAATAGATACAAGGATTTTCTAACAAAATACATAGCCAAATTGTTATAGAACTTTTCAGTTGTAGTTTAAACATGTGAATTAAAGCCTTACAGTTTAAAGGTCTTACATATTACAAGGCAACACAATAAAAATGTCATATAAACTTGTGTAATAGATAACTTGTATATACCAGTATAAAATAAGGAAATCTGTGTTTATAAATATGTTTAAACTTTTGTGTTGTTTAGGCATAAAAATATGATAACCTCTGGATTTTTAATACTAAAAAAATTGCAAATTAAATTTATTAACTTACAAGAAACTAAAACGGTTAAATGAAAATCGGCTTTCTACAGTTCATATTAAAGTATCCAAAGAGCTGGAATCTCTTTACATAATTAAAATTGGACCATCCTAAGTAAAAAAAGGACGTCCGGCAAAG